AATGGAAAAAAAAAAAAAAATGGCACTGAAAAAAATCCTGTCAATAGCTCCAAAACAGTGCCATTTTTGGAACTATTAACAGACAGGACGGTCCTGTCAGCAGTGCAATATTTCTTATCTAGGCATCTTGTTTTTTAGGGCCCTTCTTGTTTTTTTTCGCCCTCTCGCATTAGATTTAGGGTCTCCAAAGGACGTCATCCATAAAATTTACTTGGTGTGGCCTTAACATGAACTCATTTTGTGTAATGTTAGACCCTAAAACTATGTTATTAAAGATATTATGGAAAATTAGGTTGAATGTTGAAAACGATGCAAATATAAGTGAGAGCGGGCAATGTATGGTTAAGTTTGAAAATGCAAACTCTATTCACTCCCAGTGGGGCAGCCCCAGTCTTAGATAAACGTGACGGGGTCTCTGATTTCTCTGCTCACGTCCTCGTAACCGTCGTCGGTCATGACGTCAACTTCGGTAATGTTCGGGTCGGTGATGCTGGCGTCGGCGACCGTGTCGTCATCCAGCTCGGGCCTGACCTCGGCGAACTTGAACTTGTCCGTCATCTCCATGTCCAGATATTGCTGCACACACGATAGAAGGTATCGATTAACTATCTATTGATCCATATATCCATCCATCTCATGATCCACACTTTATGTATTACAATCTACAATAAGTATTTATACTTATGATACTATGAATAGAATTATACCGATTTGTAATGCTGTTGCCGTTGTGATAAACAATTACAGGGGGTTCACAAGGTTATAACGATGCGTCATTGCTTCAACGAACGAAACGGCGTGTTCAGATTCAATCAATATTGAATTAGCCTCCGTAGCAGGCTTATAGAACTAGGGTTTTGGTGGTCTTTTCGGCTGTTTTCTGATCAGCCCTGACAACCAGGCCGGCTATGTTGTCTATATGCAATCAGAAAATAGCACATAAAAGCTCCCAAAGACCATGAAGACCCCCAAACCCTCAGTTTTTGGCATGCTATGGAGGCTACAATTGAATGTTCTTGTTTCATTAGCCGTTAATGTACATGTACAGCATCTCTCATTGCATCTATCACTGGTGGTGGTTTGTGACGACAAAGATAAGATGTCTACCCTACTCACCGCGACCTTGCCCTTCAGCATGCCCTCCAAGGTGTCGGCGATCTCCGTGAAGGTCGGACGGGCGTCGGGATTCTCCAGCCATCCCCGCTGGATCATGTTGTACCTGCCGGGATCCAGACAAGACAGTTTGATCACGATCTGACATAGCCTGGGTACCATCCCAGCGAAAATCCGGATAGTACCCAGGCTAGATCTGACACGGTCGAGGGAAGGAGAATGCAACTTGAAAAGAAACTTACACATTTTGTGGAGTTTGCTAGGGAGAGGAGTATTTTTTTCAACATGAGACCTCTGCCACAAATCTGGGTTTAAAAAGGATTCGAACTCGAAACGTTGAAGTCCAGAAGTGGACCACTAGAAGCGGAAAACTGCTTTTGCCGGAAAAAAGGACTTACAAGTCCTCTCCTATGTTACTGAAGCTCGATTGATGATGCTAGATTTATGCAATTGGTGTTTTGCTCCTTACTTTAAGCTGAGGTCAGATTTTCAAACCGGGGCCCGGCCGGTCAGTCTTATGAAACGAAAAGTGTGATATGAAAGACAACAAACCACAAAAAAGTTGAAAAAATTAATGATGGGAACTATTTGCGTATATCTTTTGTATTAATTGTTGATTTTTCGTTAGTTGAAACAGCCCGGTCGGGCCCCGGTTTGGAAATGTGACCTCAGCATTAGGAGGAAGGATGGGAAATGACTTACAGTTCCTCCCCACAGTTGTTCTGCCTCTCCATCCTGTACCCGTCCAGCAGATCACGGAACACTTCAGGGGCGGTCTTGTCCGGGTAGGGGGTTCCTCCTGAAACGTCAACGGGGTTGTTTCATGTTAGGGCTACTGTGTGCACAACGATCACTGTTAAATACTAGTAAAAATTTAACCGCTATCTCATATATTCATTAAATAAATATATAGTCCATCACCTAATTTAACAATAAGCAATGGTACATGGTACATCTGAGGCATTGGTACACGAATATCTGATTAATTCTAACTGCATGTAGTCTGAAAACGTGAGAAAATACTAAAATGTCTTACCTAAAGACACAATCTCGTGCAGCGTGACTGCAAAGGACCATCTGCAAAAAAGAGCATATATCTGTTTAAGTCAAAACGTATAGTTATCAATAATGTTTTTTTAAGAAGACAGCAAAGAAGTAACTGCATGATATGATTTACTTGAGCGTATACGTTTTGATTATTGTCTTTTTTTGTTCATCTCAAGTTGACAAGCAGCAACAACGATGAGCATATATCACCAACAAACCAAAAAGAGAGCTGACTTACACGTCGCTTTTGTGGGTACACCTGTTGGTCTTGATGGACTCCAGAGCGGCCCACCTCACCGGGCGTTTGTTCTGAAAACGGGAAAGGTTTATATATAAGGACACAAGAGATGAATAGACTAGTCGTAAGTTAACAACTTTTGAGACAGACCGCATCAACAGCAGAGTTTCTTCATTAGATATACTGTGATTTTGGACAAAGGGGTGGCTGTGGTGAAATTTCACTAGGGACTTAATTGTTATCTCTGCAACTGAGAAGGTGGCGTCTGAAGGCCCGGTAAACAGTATGGTACCCAGGCTAGCATCTATGCTTCTGATCTCTTTGGACTGTCGTACCACGGTGGCCGTATCTTAAGAAACTGAAGTGGTGTAACCTACGTTGTGTGCCTCGTCCTGCGCCTTCCAGAACTCGGAGATCTTGACGATCCACATCTCTCCGATCTGAGTCGTCTTGGCGGACAGGTAGCCGTGGATGATCTGTGAATGGATAAGAGGAGTTATTCTACCTGTCCAAGCAATCTCAAGACCCAGACATACTTCTACCATGGGAACGGAGGTATTGTCTTGAACGTGTTCGTGTGTGTGTTCGTGTGTTTGTGTGTGTGTGTGTTTGCTTGGGACCGTTGGTATTTGAATGCAGTAGACTGACAGGAAGTTTCCACGTACCCCTTGTTCTTCCAGGTACTTCATCCCCCTGGCGATATCCAGGGAGATCTGCAGCAGCCGCCCGGCTGACAGGCTGGACAGAGCCCTCTTCACCTCCACCTGAAGAAGTAAAATTTCAATGATACATTTCCATACAGAAACTAAGAAAAAATTATTAATGAGTTAAAGGCGTATTTAAGTTAGATACATATTCCTTTTGTTGGGGCTAAAATTCTCTTAGAATGGTTATTTGAGATGGTGGGAGGATCTAAACGTGTACAAGAACGCTTGAGATGTGTTTCACTGAAATGCAAATATGGACTCCAACATGGCGGCGGATGTACCGATGACGTCACGTGAATATGTGCACACACCTGACTGCCCATGTGGCTGACGCCGTTCCGGATAGACTCGTACTCCTCCAGCTTCCGGCTGTCTCGGAGGAAGTCCCGAAGATTGCCGAACGGCGCGTGCTCCATTGCTATGTACAAATCGCCTGGGGTGGAAAAGGAAGCAAAACAATTTTGATCAAGACCATTGTATTGCATTACACGTATCTTCATCCAAATCGTACAAACTGAAGTTAAAAATACGGGCTCTGTATTCTACTCACCGTTATACCTACATCCCCCTATCAACCCGATGACGTTGATATTGTTGCCCACTGCACACATGACGTCAATCTCGTTCATGAAGTCCCTGCTGTCTTGGTCAGAGGCGCCGCCTATCGGAACAAAACAGCAGTGTTATCATCAGTAACATCGTCGTCATCATCCTCAATAGCTATAGTAACAGCAGAAGTATCAGTAAAGTACAGGCCTTTGACCCATTGCTAGAATTACATGGGCGAAGGCCAAATACCGTGAAAGCACTGGGAATTGACATTTTTGTGTTTTGTTGTATTGTGTTGTATTGTGTTAGAATAAGATATACAAAATTATCTATTACCGTTCAAGATATTGATAACAGCCGGGATCTCCTTGCCCTCCTTGTTGACCACGCCCTCCGCTATTCTGCCTAAGCTACCATATTCCTGGACCGTCTCCCCGACCGTCAGGCTGGTCCAGGGGATGACGGGATACGGCGGGTCCTTCTCCTCCAGGGGTGCGATCTGGGGCGTCTCCGATTCCTGCTCGAACGCCGCGTTTTCGAACTGAGTCACGTTCGACTGAAACAACAATTATATCACTTATGAATCGATAAATTAATAGGTAGGCATGTGTACACAACTTATAGATATTGGCAATCGAAATACTTTCAATTTCCATATTCAATCGCAACTTGCATTTATTGATTTAACATTACCATATCACCACTGAATCATTTGCATCAGATGTAGACTTTTCGATGTGGAGATGCCATACATACCCTACATTTTAATGAATTGAGAATTGCTTTTACTAAAATGAAATTTTAAACAGACAACTTACAGAGTACAGGTCCACCCATGGCTCAATCTTGTCTTCTTTTGGCTCGTAGGCTGTCCGGTTCTTCCTGGCCCTTGTCACATATCTGAGAAAAAAATTTTATTCGCAAACTTTTATCACTTTTACAGAAAAATACAAGCAAATCAGAAGTAATCATGCAGTCTGAAAGTGACGTGATAACAAAAATAGATAATAGATATATGATTTATGATTATAGCTCACCTTCCCAACACTATAACTGCAACGATGGCGACCAGCAACAGGAATCCCAGAATCCCCCCGATGATGTACAGCAGCTGCTTGTCCTCATTGGATGTCTGCTGCGCAGGGGGTTGTGGGACAGGTTCTACAGGAAACGGAAATGACGACATGGGAGTATGCACATAAGATTTTCACGAAGAGGTTGTTGCGGCATGTTAAAACGTCGTGTTTTTCTATGATGATCCGTAGAGGCCATGGTAGCTGTGTTTTCTATGCTATGGTACCTCTAAAGATATTAACATGCAGGAGTCGGACATTTTGACGTGCAGGACAGTGTACATGCACACATGCACTAGTGTTACCACTATGGTTAGCAGCACGGGACAAACGAATACACAAATACGTGATGAACGCACCGAAACTGAAAGAAAAAAAAATCGCGGATGGTGGTGACTGCTGCCAACCGCACCGAACGTGTCAGAACTGCATGCGAACGTAAGGTAACCGCGTACATGAACCTCAGCCAAGCGCTTGTAAGCTGTATTCCATGAGCTGTGCGTAGGTGGTTTGATTCTGGTATATCTTCAAGGCTTATATGTTTCTACCGATACAGTTTTGAGTCATCATTGACCAAACCTTCAAATTCGTTCAATTTCCCAAAATTGAATAATTTTACTGCCATACCTGGCTTTCTCTGTAAGTACAACACCAAATCTATTATGCGTATTTTATGTAGGTTTCACTGTGCATTCACTTAACACCAAAAAAATCCCAGTGAACCTGGTACATAAAGTCTATCCGTATCACCGCACACCACAGACGCCATGAAATACCGCTTAGAGACGAGGACGTGCCCTGGTTATCAGACTGTGAGCCTACACTACAGGCCACTCCCATCTCCCACGGAAAGCGCTGTAAGCCACCAAGACAACTCTATCTGTCACCGACGTTAATAGAGCTTCCTCAGCGGCATACAGGGCGGGCTTGCTCAGTACTCTCCAGGCAGACGCTGAAGGGGGAATCGTTTACGTCTTCTGATTGGTACCCACTTTCTGACGGCCTACTCCTTCGTCCAATCAAAAGAAGGAAAGGCTCTCCTCCTTCAACCAATCAGAAGAATGTGAGGATCTCTTCATTCAACCAATCAGAAGAAGGTAATATCTCCTCTTTCAACCAATCAGAAGAAGGTAAGGCTCTCCTCCTTCAACCAATCATAATAACTTAAGATATCTCTTTCAGAAGGTAAAAATCTCCTTCAGCCAATCAGAAGAAGGTAAGGATCTCCTCCAACCAATTAGAAGGAGGAAAGAATCTCCTAATTCAACCTCTGCTCGGATAGTACCAGCCAGTGACCAATGGGATTTGTAGCCAGCGTTATTCCGATAACCAGGGTAACTTTACGTGACAAGTGGATACCTTCTGTACACCTGTCAGCGCTTAGAACGCTACAGGAGCGGAAATCTTTGCTATCCCCGGCACAAGGGACCCGGCGGCACGTGCGATTTCTGGTTTGTATGCCGTCACAATCCTTGTTGCACGGGCTCCACGGAGACCAGTTGTCCCAATGTCCTTCTTCTGTGTGCGTAAAATAGTTTCGGCATCTTGAAAACTTTCCCCAGCCATGTCAAGACTGCCATCGGAACGATACAGCAGCGTTTTGCCGTATACATGTCATCAGATACGCAGCGGACATGGTGAGGCGAGTAAAGCAGAATTTTAACAACAGCTTTACGCACCTTAAATCCACCGAATCAACGGTCAATACCTTAATGACTTGGTTAGAATTTGAACAGAGGTAAAGTCCCAAACACGCCTTAGGACCATCTGAACTTTCCCCATAGCGGATATGCACAAAACTGGTTATGATTTTTATATAAAAGCAAATGCAAAACACAAAGCTAACTCGCAGTTAAGACAAAGGGCAAAAATACTGGTTATCAGACTTTGAGCCTACAAACAGGTCCCATCTGCCACGGAAAGTAAGCCACCAAGACAACTCAGATCAACTAGAGCTTCCTCAGCGACATACAAGGCGAGCTAGCTACTCTCCAGGCAGAGGTTGAAGTTGGAACCGTTTCCGTCTTTTGATAGGTACCCAATTTCCGACTCTTCATCCAATCAGAAGAGGGAAAAGATCTCCTCCTTCGACCAATCAAATGAGAAGAATTTAAGGATCTCCTCCTTCAACCAATCAGAAGAAGGCAAAGACCTCCTCTTTCAACCAATCAGAAGAAGGTAAGGATCTCCTCCTTCAACCAATCAGAAGAAGGCAAAGACCTCCTCTTTCAACCAATCAGAAGAAGGTAGGGATCTCCTCCTTCAACCAATCAGAAGAAGGTAAGGACCTCCACCTTCAACCAATCAGACAAAGGTAAGGATCTCCTTCAACCAATCAGGAGAAGGTAAGGATTTCCTAATTCAACCTCTGCTCGGATAGTACCAGCCAGTGATCAATGGGATTTGTAGCCAGCGTTATTCCGATAACCAGGGTAACTTTACGTGACAAGTGGATACCTGTTGTACACCTGTCAGCGCTTAGAACGCTACAGGAGCGGAAATCTTTGCTATCCCCGGCACAAGGGACCCGGCGGCACGTGCGATTTCTGGTTTGTATGCCGTCACAATCCTTGTTGCACGGGCTCCACGGAGACCAGTTGTCCCAATGTCCTTCTTCTGTGTACGTAAAATAGTTTCGGCATCTTCAGAACTTCATGTCAAGACTGCCAGCGGAACGATACAGCAGCGTTTTGCCGTGTACATATCATCAGATACGCAGCGGCCACGGTGAGGCAAGTAAAGCAGAATTTTAACAACAGCTTTGCGCACCTTAAATTCACCATGAGATCGATCCTTGATACCTTGGCGACATGGTTAAAACGGCGGTTAAGTCCACAAAAACCGTCTTATGGCCATCTTAGATGGTTAACTTGGGCCCAAAGCAGGTTATGTTTTTTTATTATATTAAAAACAGGTTATGTGAAAACACAAAACTCGCAGTTAAGACGAAAGCGCAAAAATAGTTTTTGAAACGAAGGCCGGTCAAAGGAGTGAAGACAAAGTGAAACACCTATATGAGACCCTGCGTGGCTTGTGAGGTTAGTTTGCTCACTGATGAAGGTAAGTGTTTAGTCAAATTTCGACAGGTTTTAGAAGGATATGAGGCAAAGGTACAAATAGGGAAATGAGTATAAAGCTAAGACAGTTCGCAAGCATTTTCATATATGAATTAACACTAATGCAAATATGTCATTGACCTGTTAGGAGCATTTGCAAAGATATATGCACATCACACATCATAGTAAAACATTTCATAAATTTCAATATTGTTTGCAATAAAATATTTAACATTGAATCAAATCATCATACATAAAAATTTACACTCTCTTAACCTTCGCCCTGCTGAGTTCTGCTATTATAATTACATTTTAAAGTTTTCATGAGCAGGTAGCAGGGAGAAGGTTAAATAGATAGTTTGGAAATCGTTTAAACCGAAGTTACAGTAATCTAAAACATGCAAATTGTACTCTACAAGCTTTTCTCTTAATTGCGCAATTATAAAAACAGATTGTTGGATGTGGTATAGGTTCCCTGCTAGCCCAACATCCAGCCGCCCCCTGGAGAGGGGCCACTAAAGCCGCGGACGGCAGAGTTTGCGTTACACCGACTAGGTTCCCTACCTGTTCCGTTGAGAACTGTGACCACCACAGTCGCCTCGTCAGTAGAAAGCTTCAGAAATGTGGTTGTTTCTACTGCCCTCACCTACAAAAGACAATGATGTTCTATCAGTACTCTAGAATATGTAAATATAAAAATGACTGTGGATGATAATTTTTTCACAGAAGAAAAGTTGTTTGTATTGTTTGCCATACAAATATACTTATGCCTTTTTATTAACTTTTACGATGGAAGTATGTCGTTATAATGTATGTAAATGTATGCAAATTAATTTGACAGTTACTGACCGTCATGCGGTACTCCCTCTGAGTGTCTATGTCTAACCGGTTGGCGTCCACGATCAGATAGCCCGTATCTGTGACGTCGAATCTGCCGCTAGCGTCTGTCAGCTCGTAGCGAAGGGCTCCCTCGGGAACCACCTTCTGTAATTGGTAGAATATATATAATACTTATTAGCAAAGTAGATTACGTAAGTGAATTTTCTTGGTGATATGCTGTGGAAAGGTGGAAAAATAATTCAAAATTGATCTTTTTGATGTAAAACGTTCTTTTTGTCTTCTTATTTTGTCAAATTTCAGTATAATTCACAAATGTAATTCTTTATCTTCAATCTTTCCTCTTGCAGTAGTTCAAATCAGACAACCTTATATGGGCTTTTGTGTCATGTGACCATCATCCAATCAAAAGTACGGACTCTTGTTTCAGTCAATCTGTGAGCACGTGACCATCATCCAATCAAAAGCGCGACCACTTACGTCAGTGAAGTCGTCATCCCTGACCTCCAGCAGCAGGGGTGACTCGTGTTCGTCTTTGAAGACGATGACGGCTTGACCTGTGAACTCTCGCACATAACCTTTGAACTCTGACTGCCCGGTGGAGATGAAGAAGTAGGGATCGTTGACGTCATCGTCCTTTACCCCAATTTTGACGTCAGCCGTGGCGTAACGTAGGGGGTTGTCATTCTGATGGGCCTGGATGGACGTATGAATGAATAAATGAGTGAAGGAATTAATAAAAATCACATCTTGGTGTCAATTAACTTACTAGTACTCATAGATTCCTCTATATTATTCGTTAGGCCTAGGACAAAATGCTGTGTTTCAGATTTCAATCGTGAAAAAAAACAGGGTCGGTAGGTATGGGTTTTCTACCTAGGCCTTAAAATGGATTACCTTAACCGTGATGATGAACTCCTCTACTTGCGTCCTCTCCACGGGTTTCGTCAGTGTGATGTTACCGGTGATGTTACCTATATCGAAGTATTCCCGGAAATCACTTGGAGAACCTGGAAAAATTTCAGAAAGGGGCAGTCACTATATGAAATCCAGTTGGTTGACACAAAATGTATTGAACAGCTACTACCTTAGATTAAGAATGTTACTCGAGCAAACTGCAATATCTGTGAGGTTACTAGATTAAGATATTAATAACTAAGAGATATAAGTAAGTCACATTTGAGATATGCTTCAACATCACATGGCACCCGCCTAAGACTCAAGTATGGTATCTGGATATCCATGCTGTCAGGCAGGTGCAGTATTAAAGGATCCTGACGAAAAACCCTTACCTGCTAAGAAACTGTAGACGATCACAGGAGGTCTCTGAACATCCGTATCAAGGTCAACGGCATAGATAGGTGCCGGGTCAAAGGTCAGGGGCTGGTTTAACTGTAAACAAAACATAAACATGTTGTCATTTTCACATCAAAAGAAAGGTATTGCCAAAACCTTGTGCGTGTGTACTACATTTTCTATTAGTTCAAAAAATCATCCCTCTAAATTATCCAGGCCTCTTGCTTCCTTGAGCCGATAAAATTACGTTTTGGTGACCTAAAGAACTACAAAACCTCACACTTATTTAGATTTTATACGGAATCGGAACCAGTATGTCGAGGGTTCACCGTGCTCCAACGTTGTGCCCTTGGAAAAGGCCTTTCCCTGACGGTGGAGTGACATCCACTGAGCCTCTTACTAGTATCTGTCTAACTGTGTGCCAAAAACACACTACGGATTTGGTGCGCCAATGTGCCAACATCTGCACATTTGCCACCGACAGCCGTACTTTTTTTTTATCCTTGTAATATCCAGTGAGTAACGACTCCTTACCGTTTCTGTGTTCTCCATGACAGACGACACGTACAGCGGGCTGCCGCAGATGTCCTCCTGCGGGTCTCCCTGCAGGACACACGGCCGGAACTGTACCGCCTGGTCATCTCCGTCCGTCACGATGATCGTCACCGTCGTGCTGGACGACTTCCGCAGGCTTACGTCCGCCGCCAAATCCTGAAAAACGACGAAAAAGTTACAACAATCTGATGGCCCGACTTTCGCAGGCTTTCGTTGGCAGGCAGATCCTGAAAAAGGACGATGAAGTTTATTAATACTGCAAACAATCTAAAATCCCGGTGTCCAGTCTATCGCGGTTGGGGCAAGTTCTCTTCGGGCTGCAGGAGCTCTTCACCGCCCGACTCAACTAGGCTCCCCGATAGGTTTTGCACGACAGGATTTCCATTAACCCAACCACTGCCGTACAACTCCCACCGGGCGGCCTGTTGAGCTGGGCGGGGGAAAACTTTTAGGGCCCCCGAAGCGAACCCGGCCCAACCAGAAGAGACTGGACACTACGCTAACAATCTAACGGATTATAACAAAACAGAGAGAAGATGAACTCCTACTCACATGGGCGACGATGGGGATGAGATATTTCTTCTCCTCTCCCGGCTGGAAACCTTCGTAGTCCAGAGACTTCTTCAGAACGATGTCTCCTGTGGACGGCAGGGGGATCTCGAAATAGTCGTTCGGTCCCTGAAAAACAAATTATGTGAAGTCTTTGAAATTGATCCTTTGTGGAGTGTACTGTTCGGCCATCATATAAATATCTTTTTCATTAGATCGAAATCAGGACTGTAATTTTGTACTTTTCCTATTGTATTTGAAGAATGATTTTATAAGCCATAATAACCGCGGCTGGACCTACTTTAACTACATTTCATGTAACAGTTTTTATAGTTCGTACCTCTATCTGATACGACACCCTGCCGTTCTCATTACTATCCGGGTCCTCAGCCGTCAATCTCCGGAAAATGGTGGACCCTACAGGGGTGAGCTGGAGGGACAAGACAGTAATCATTATTATCATCATTATCATTAACATCATCATTATCATTATCACTAATTTATCACCGTGGACGTACAGGAACTGTTAAAAGATAAGATAGAAGGAATAAGAACAGGACTACACAACGACGTTAAAATATTGTCTACAACGTTCATCAGTAAAATTGTGTTATTCAAGAGCAATTATTGGCAATGCATGCACGCTAATATCCTACCATTACATAATCTTTGGTATACATAGTAGTAGGGATCTACTAACTTACGAAAGAGGGGATATTATTTGGTATCTGCTGGAAAAAAACGACTCTTTATAACCAAAAACCATTGGATTGCTGTCTCTACCACGTACCTCTATGACCTCCTGCTCATATGGATCGTCAACAAACCTCGGCTCGTTGTCATTCAGGTCCAGAACGGTTGCTATGATACTGTTGTCCACCTGTAGGGTAGTCGTCATGGCAACGTGATGATAAACAATCACCATAGAATCACTGCCGTTTATCTTAAGTGGGTTAACACATTGTGTTGAAAACGTATCCTAAAAAAGAAGCTCTGATGCAAGATCGCATGCGCATTCAATTCAGGTTTTGTCTTCAAGGAGAAAAATTTGTTCATACATTCAAATACTTCAATATACAGTTATGTATATCGTTAGAGGTATAATGGAAAGAACTAAATAGTACTCACCATTGCGTCCGTCGCTATAGTCTTGCACCTTACGATGAATCTAAGATCTCGAATGCCAGAGACCCCCTATCAAAACAAAACGGTATCAATAATTGCAGGTTCTGGTAGCAATATATCAATAAGAAACAAAGTAAGAATCATTTACCCATTGAAATATTCACTGAGGACTAAAGCAGCAAAAGCTCAGCCAAAGCATGGGTGTAGAAATTGTACCTGTCGGTCACGGTACTATAAAAATAGTCCACGTCATGCGACACTTACGTCTCTGTCTAAGACCTTCCCCTTGAGAGAGAGCCTGAGCTGTTGTAGTTCCTCTACCAGCAGGCCCCAGTCCTTGTCGGCGGAGTCCTGTAGACTAAGCTCGATGGTCCGTCCAGCGCCGATTGCCGTCCCAGCAAACGACATATTGGCCACGATGGTCGTGTCTACGGACAAGAGAAGCGTTGTTAGAATTCCGTGAGGCCTCAAAGGCACTAATCCCCAAGCAGATCTTTCGGTGGCAAAATCGTAACCAACCGGCGAGGTACTATCCACTTTCGAGCCAGACAGTACGTACTAGCATCCAACCGGCCCCCGAAGGCACTACTGTATTTTAGTGGCTCTATGTATGTTTTTGTACGTAAACAAAGGTTGAAACTTTAACCAAGTTGCCGTGGTTGGATTGTGATAGTATTTGGTACCTATGTACGAGTTGCGATCATGAAAATATCCGACATTTGTAGATAAGTTACTGCCCACTTATCTTCAACTTCTGATCTGAGTACAAGGACTTAAAGTTTTAGTGTCATGGTCTTCATACTTGAGACAAATGATAGAACAAAGACGGTCTTACTTTCCGGGCTGTTCTCCATGAGAGCTTCGAACACCATCCCGTTCTGGAAGACAGGACTCTCGCACGGATCTGTAGATGGGGGCAAATACTTTGTGGATCGGACCAGCAAGTATATATGACTTTATAGAAGAAAATTTAATACACAATTCAACTAACTCTATATCCTCAACAGGTCGTTCTTCTTTTCGCTGTTTATAGAGCTCCGGGGCGTGCGTGGGTTTAACGGCGTAAACAACTACCTGTGTCGATAATTTTAAACACTTGAAGCAGTAGGTAAACCACACCCACTGTTTGAGTAGTATGGCTTTGTGCAGTACACCAAAAGTCCGCATGAACGCCATGAGTTGCTGACTCACGACACAAGATACTGTACTACTAGGACTGATCCTCTTTGTGTAATTTCAGCCTGATGCCCTGACTTTAAATAGCATAATGTAAACAACAACACGTGCACGAAGACAACAAACCGATTTCACTGTAAACAAAGGGCATCTTTGGTCTGGTGTAACATAACCGGCTCAAAAGTTAGTCGGGCACGGACTCTCTTCTTTAGGAAACGCAAATTGGTGTTTTCGAGCCTACGTGTTACCCTTTTGTCGTTGGTCAATTATTTCATTGTATCCAAATATGACTTATAGCACCCGTACTCTGGGAGAATGTCTCAATTCCAAAACCCGACAACACACGTGAATTACTGTAGCTATTATCCTGGTACTCAATCGTGGTAACTGATGTGTGCAACATCTCAAGAAAAAAGGTGAAAGAAAAGAGAGTATTTAGCAAAAATATACTTACCACATTATAATACACATTATACCTTAAATGCTTTTGAAGATTTCTTTATTAAATTTTTCAAGCATCTCTTTACGTTGTTTGTTTAAAGCTAATATCGTCATGCCATAAAATGCTTTCTATATCACAGGGACATTCAAATTACATGGTATAAAAGATACCAAAACGATTTATTGAATTAATTAATTAATCAATCAAACAATCAATCAATCAATTGTTTAATTTTAAAAAGCTTTTAACGGTGCATCTTGTAGATAGTTTGTTATGGATTACCTGTGAAGTTATCTGTGGGTCCGAGGGTGGGCATGGGGGTTCACACAACACAACATCAGGTATAATGAGGTGTGATCCCGGAGAGGCATGCAGGAATACATGAGACCACACAAACTTCTACATCTATGGATGACATCCGGCCCCATTTTTAATTAGCCCCCCAAATTTTATCTAAGAATTTTCACTCTTTTACGGATGATCCATAAAGGGTGATATTTGAATAACAGCGTAAGAAATATATAAACATGGTTCTGACAAGAAACAAGTAAAACAGAATTTTTTGTTGCCCGTATTGCAGCCGTCATCAGGTTCAAATGACCAATCACGTGACCGATCACGTGGCCTTACGTACACGGGACATCGACACGCTTTGAGCCTTTATCATCTCATTAAAATTAGCACATCTCGTCGCAAAACAAATTAGTAAGTTTGTTTGTTTGTTTTTTATTTGTTTGTTGCTCTAGTACTGTCGCATTAGATACGCATTTTCCAGAGGATATCACCCATATAATATAAAGCTTGTGCGGCCTTATATGACAATCACATGGGAGGAATCGATAAGAAGAGGGGTTAGTCATGCATTAGTAGGTTAGCTGCGACAGCTGACACTAAGCTAGGCGGGATGATCTGATAGCCTCGTAGCAGGCCCCTTGGACGATTTTCTTTTAATTTTTGCTAAATTCACTATTTTCGTAGTGCTGTTGAGCTTTGATGCTACACACGGATGTAGCAACTTGTTCACAATCAACAAAATACATATATTGCAATTTAGAAAGACAGCCCATGGAGCCTGCTATCTAGGCTAATAATTTGCCACTATATATGACGTTAAATATAAGCATGAACTAAGCATTGAAAATCAAAGCGTTATGATTGGCGAGTCAATGTTATCAAAATTAAAACCCTTACGTTACGAACTTAGTTTTGACCATTCGGTAAATGTCAACAATAAGCAAAACATACATTTGGTGAGTTAGCATTCTTTGACAATGTCATGATTATTTTCCAATATTTTGTTTCCTACGTATTACTACACAACAGAAGCCATTGTTCTGTATCTAATAACATCAAATGTTAGTTTAGGAAATGCGTTTTAGTGTTCAGATCTTCAAGGCATACCGCCTGTAACAATATATTAATTCGAGTTCGAGTTATTTCCTTACGAAGCAAAATATCTTCCAGTTGGAGAAACAGCGGAAATAAGAAAAGCTGAATTAAGTTGAGTTGAGCAGAGATCATAAATATAATGCAATATGATATCTGGACTGTTCCATTGGTTTAGACCAGAGAGGGGTGGAAATAGTGATGTCACATTGAACTCATACAAGTGGCTTCAAGTGATTCTTTTTTATTTGAACAAAATATTTAATACCATTTAATATTCATTTGATATCTTTTTCATTTCAACAAAATTCATTTGTTTCATATTTTCGAATTTGAACAAATTGTATTTTAATGATATTTTTAGATTTGAACATATTATACATTTATTTAATATTTTTTGGATTGGAACACATAGCAAGCGTAGTAGTAGAAGTAGAAGTTTTTCCAGACAGTAGTTGTCTATTTCCTATTTTTGTACTGTACTCTCTTTGACTCTGTAAATTTGTAAGAGCAATTAACGTTATGATTTTGCGAGTAAAGAATTCATTATTCCCCTCCCTCTCAGTTTCCCCAAATGGAACGGTCCACTGATGAAAGCGGGGCGACTCTATGTTGACAACAATGTTACTGTGTTGGTGTAAATTGATCCTGCGGACACCTGTTTGGTTTACCGTGCTGACTTACTTTGCGCGGATACTGTAACCACTCCCAGCACCGCCAGCACGCTGAAGAGCCATATCCTGGTTCCTTCCGCCATGTTTTCCCCGCTGAAGTGTGGCTACTTCTGCCGTATCAACTCTGTGTAACGCTCCGTCTGGTCTACGAGTCGCTACCTGTGGTACAAAAGAGCGCGGTTAGGTAGTGGGACCGGCTTTTTCAATCTGGGCGTTTCCTCGCTCTTTCTTTTCAAGGGCAAAAACAAAATGGCGGACGTCAAACAATAGTGAGATCCGATCCAATGACTCAGCCAATACATTATGACTAACTAACGTCGAAACTTACACACAAATCTAACAAAACACAAGTCTAATTTTAACACAGCAAAGGCGAACATCTTAACTACATTTGGAACAGAGATAAAATGTTAAGAGGTACGTCAAGACTCTTGCATGACCTAGTGACTTAAGAGGTAACAAAAGATTTAGGATGGCGTATACACTTCAGAACAGTTTCCTTATTTACCCCCCCCACACACACACACACATTTGGGTAGATACAAACATTAGTTTTCAAGTAATACCCCGTAAATTGACTGTCGATGCCTTAAGCTTCTACCCAAATGTAAGAAGAAAATTAAAAGGGCTTTTTTAGATAGAATTTCTTTACAAACATAAACGTTCACTTTTCTAGTAAATGTACTTATTTTGGTAAACCTGCAACCATATATGTTAAAGATGTCATGACCAGTGTACATATGCTTTTCACAGCAAGAAACATCATTTGAGTACAAAAAGATTGAACCTTTATCTTAATCCAGAGCAATTAAAATATTGAAAGGGCAGCTGCCACGACCCACATTGGTTAACCTTTAATCATCTATCATTTCTTAAAGATAACGGCACAGATAACCTTAATTAAGGCGCAGTTACACATGTCCACTGTGTACTTTTTTTGCGGTACGATTGTCTAATCTCTGAGTACATCTTTTGGTGGATGCAAGACAGTATCAAATTGGCAACACAGTATCATTTTCATGGCAGTATCCAATGCTGGCGAAAAAAAAGATACCAAATTGCAATACAAAAAAGGAACCAGATAAAAAAAGCCTAAAACATGCCAAGAATAAGTCAAAGCCTAAACCTCTGGTTTGAGAGTACGATTGTTAAACATCTGACAGAACTGGCTTTCGACAACAATCTACGACACAGCCACGACTGTCTTAAGAATGATGTCCTGTCGTAAGCATGTCGTACGACTTAACGTTATGTGACACGACCTTTATAAGAAGATAAGGGAACAGATATGACATCAGTGTGTGTTTGGTTGTCCTGTATCCTGGTCAGATATCGATCCAGACAGTCACACCCACATGTGACAGTAACGCTTAAAATAGTTAAACACTGCATGTGTACACTGTGTGCTTGTATATATAGACAAGGTTAGAGTCTTGAATGGCGTTCTTGGAAGAAAAAAAATAAGCACACAACGTAAGACCACCTACGGCGTGTGTCGTTCATGAGTGGCATTATGATGTAGCTTTGTTACTTGAACCAAAAATCTTGATAAAATATAACGTTACATATGCGTCGTAGAATGTTGCATAGTCAAACAGCAACTGATTGAAGTCTGTGAAGACTGGGACTAGGTTGAAAAAAGGCTATGAAAATTTTTGTGAATATGACAAAATAATGGAGGAAATGCTTAGCATTTAGTTATTAGCGTATCGTAATTTCTCTAGATAATTATTTGGGAATAGACTTTTGCCCCCCCCCCCTTAAAACACACGTTGCAAGTTTTAAAATCATAACAATGCCACCAACCACCATCAGAACGCCGATTTTTGAACGACAAATTACCATTAGTAGAAGATTTGGCCTCGAAAAATACATAAACATCTCCCACGATTGTGAAAACTATAAAAAGTAGAAACCCTAATTATAAGTTCTTTCTTTACCTTCGATAGAGTCTTGCTCAATCAGGTGTAACTGAAATTCAACATATTGACTGCCACAACCTATCTTTCTCACACATGTATACTATAGGTAACTTTCTGCCAGTGTCAAATTCCGTTCTAAATATGTGAGAATTAAAAAAAAAAAATCTTGCGTCAAACTGACATAAATGTTCCCAAGCAACGACGTGAAAAACTGGGCAAAACTGCAGGTAACGCAATCTGGGTACTGAATGGCCATGTTACGGGCGGAGTGCACTTCTCCAAAACGCTACACTACAGAACCTACTCGCAAAGAGCTACAACATGTAACAGGATATTGTGTCAATGCAAATGGAGAGAGAAAGAGAGAGCTCAGAGTTGCAACTTGTAAGAAAACAGAGCTGGATTACGAAGCCTGACCTGTTTATTTGCCACCCGTCTAGACTAAGTAAAAAGGAATTAAACATAGCGGCAAAGAAACTGAACAGAGACGATTTGATGACTGAAAACGACAACAACTGCTTGCAACATTCGTTACAATTTTTCACGCCACCACAAATATCCATAGCTCACTTATTTGGCGATTTGTCTCTTAGGTAACGGAGAAATGTGGGTAGATAAAAACACATAAAGCACTTTCGCCATACTGTATCCGTGTACGTGACAAAATGCGGGTCCAACTTAGTCACGACAATTGCAACAGGTGGGACAACAAACATTCGTCCGCTACACTGACTCGAAACTACAAGTTTATACGGAGCCATAGCTTCTTGAGTTATGGAAAGGGGGAAAGAATTGGTGTGGAAATTTTGGGCTAGTTTGGAAGGAGTTGAGAACAGGTTGTGAAGAGGTCGGGAGGTCAAATGACGCGGAAACATTTCATCGTTACCTGGTCTGGTTAGAGTCGGGGGGACGTTCCCTTGTCAGGCGAACTCCCCACGAATCCTCCCCGAGTCGCTACGATGCGCCTCCTTAACACTCCCTCCAAGCATAAGAACCAAGATGGCGCGCCCAAGACGTCTTGAGAAGGTGTTGTTTTCTCAGGCCCCTCAAGTTTTTAACGTAACGTCCCGCCACCCTGCCTCTTCATACAAGGCGGTCAAACGGAATGAAGATAGATTTACCCTCATTTGCATATGAAAGCCTCGCCTGGGTTTGCCCACCAAACATCTGTATCGGCCCGAGTACGTCACAGTAACAGTATCCTAACCAACCAGCCGCCGGCTTACAAAGCGTGAAACCTACAATATAAACCCAAACCTGATTGGAATTCGCGACAACATCGGCGGAACTTCGATGTTTTTCCACGCCATTAATGAGAGAATGTGCAGAATTTTGGGACAGAATGCGTGAAAAATCACTGTAGATTAGAAGGTAATGAATCAGTTTATCATGTTACATTCATGATCATAAAACCTATTTCCATATTACTCTGCAAGAAAAAGCGAAGGTACCTTTTACAGGGATAAGGGGGGATACAGACTATGTCACGTTTGGGACCGCATCCTTGCAGCAACACCACCATGCGGCCAGTACTAGTACAGTAAATTTAGACCTTTCTAAAAGAAAAGTAGCTGAGGACTTCACGAAACAAACTAGCGTTGTAAGAACCCTTCTATTCACCAAAACGTCACACTTAACATTTAGCACACTGAAGTAGTCGTTTGGCTACCAAATCTCTGTTGGTAAAGGGGTTAGGCAGTAGGGTGATGGTTGAATAATTAATTGCGAGCTTAGTACCACATTATTGAGCAATAAACCACAGCTTACACAGTTAATCAGAATGGGTGTACCGGTTGCCAATGCTTAGGTGTAAACAGGCTTCTGTAGGTAGATACCGGTAAGTACCTTAAGCACAGAAATGACAAGAAACGACCACGACTACAAGTTTTGCTGTTGCTAACCCAGAATTAATTGAAGTGACAGAAATCTTTATCTACCTTCAGAGTTATTGAACAGTAAAAGAAAATAACAAGAAACAGTCACGGTTGCAATTCAAATTGAGTCTTACCGTATTCTGTCCACATTGTGAAGTTTTAAAACCTTATTTCTCGAAATTTTATATTTCCCTCAGAATATATCCACTTAAAAGTACATTTTAAAAGAAGTGGGTTTAAAATCACCTTGCTTAAAGGGTGCGCAAATGTTCCGTTTCTTACTTATACTTTTACGCAAGCTTTAACGTGTATAGGGTTTCGTGCAGTGTATATTGAAGGTTATTCTCAAACACAGTAACAGTAAGGGCTTCTATACCTATAACTGTTAGCTTTAATTAAACTGCGTTTCCAAAGCATAGGTGTAATATAAACAGAGCTCATGTGTTACTCCAAAGGGTGGTTTTACTGGTTGATTAAAACAGCCACAAAGAAAGACAAAGACGTACTTACAAGACACTACCAACCCAAGAGCGTCGGCTTAGCCGTAATGGTAGGTAATGTTATTGTTAAGCCACGTTCCCCGCCAAAACAAGGCGAGTTTGGACAGGAGGCAAACATACTCGGCAGGTGACAGACGACATATTGTGACGTTGTCCTTCGCGACAAGTACAAGTGACGTCCTGTTTGGACATGTTGTTCAACAATCACTGCTTACAGCTTTCACTAAGGCCATGTTGATTTGATTATATGGATGACATCCCCCGGGAACCCCAAAACTGACGCGAGCGTGCGAATAAAAAAAATCGTTTGGCAAAAAAAAGTTGCTTTCATTTTGAAATCTACGTGGTCATGAAGGTTGAACAAATGACACAGAATATGGTATGGCGAATAATCTAGTCTTCAAATTTATTGCTTTGAACCATTTTTCAACGATTGACTTTTGGGGGTTTGGGCATTTTATTAGGAAGTCAGTAAGTACTTAGTACATAGCTGTTCGCTTCTTAAGTCAATAGACATATATTTACGGAAGTTCCGCCTATACAATCGTTCTTGTTTTAAACGAACTTCAGACCCCAAAATGGGAACAATTACACACAAAAACAACATCCACATCTCTTCTTATCATGACAAACTTCCTTATCTTATGAACCTTATGAAGAGAGAACCAACAGCATATTTGGTGATGAAATTAATAAACTGCTACACAGCAATTGCTGCAAACATATGCTATAAAAAGAATGATAGAAATATAGAAAGCACGAGCAAAATTAAACCCATGTTCTTTCCGAATTCATAATGCTAAAATATAGACATGTAGTGTATATATACAGCAACATTAACAAGCAACACTAGCTATGCGACATCATATATGTTAACAAGATTTTCAGAATCCCCATCGTCTTTAAAAGTCCAATTAATATTGAAACTTACAAATGTTATACTGACCTCCACTTTACATAAAATTCAGTATTATAACACTAGTACTTCTAACTCTAAATTTTGCAAGACCAAAGGTTTTATACTTATATTGTGATGTTATAACATATTAGTTTAAGAAAGAGAAGAAAACAGTTATTCAAAAAAGAGAACTCTTACCCTCTATGCCCCATTACAGCACAGACCAGGTCCCGCCACGCAGGCATTCGTCCCTAGTACTAATATCCGGCGTGTTCTCCCGGTATTTATATCATCAAATCTGTTCCAGAATCCCCTGTGTTACCTATAGTTACTCCCACAAGTTCCTCACGTGTCTGACGCTAATCAAATTAGCACATGGTAACCTATCAACTTCCTCCAAACGACAAGGCAAGGGCTTGGGAAGTGGGTTGGACAGCATATGTCAAGTTGACTTAATTTTGTGGACAACAGGTTCATCCCATAGACACGAAAAATGTGTCACAAGAGAGGAAAATTTTGGTTTAATACAAATCTTAGATGCCGAAATGTCAGATATTAAGAAGGGATATAAAATATCAAACCAAACTATTCGATAAGGTCTCTTGGTAAAGAATGTGGCGTTTCAGACGACAGCATCCACTATCATATCAGTTAATTGCTCACTGCTGAAAGACACACATTTTTTTCTTAAACGTCTGACTCTTTTTGGAGGCCAGCTTCTGTATCTGTATAGCCGGTATAACTGCCCCTCGGTGTAACACACCAGCTTCTGTATCTGTATCTGTATGGCTGGTATAACGGCCCCTCGCAGGCACGCGGCGCGGCGGCGGCTGGTTATATTACACTAAACGACGTGTTACACCCAACCTTAGCACATCAAACTGTGTTGTTTAAAGCTATCTAATGATAATACCCCTATCTACTGTACTTTATGGCAGTGAGTTCAACTCTATGATAGTTCTTGGACTAAAAAAACGATTTTTTGAACACAACAGCGTATAATGAAGCTTAGACATCAGGTACATGTACGTAAGAAAACTGTTACTCAAGCAACTTCAAAATCTATCCGGTAGCTTGACCAAGTGTGTACCTCAATCTTTAATTCAGTTATATTTGATTTGATTAGAATAATGACTTACGTAGCTTGGGTTCTAACATTCACCAACGAATATGAAAATTGCAGTAGCATGAATTCATACACGTTTTGGAAAACAATAACACATTGCTTCACATCAAATACGTCTCCCATTTCGCTCATATAAGCCAGGCCTCCGGCTATTCCATAACTACATTACGACTATATTACAATATAGCTGAAATAAAAGGGCTCGCCGACCGACAGAAAGAAAACAGGAAATTCCTTATTACAACTTTTCTGGAATGCCCAGAAAGCAATTAGCATGCTCAGCAGTCAGTACAAATAGTAGATCTATGTATCCCAAAATACTATTCCTATAACTGACGGTTTCCAAATATTCTGTACATCTAGAGTGTGTTTTGATGGTGACTACCTCTGTATTGTACTGTTTTGTGATGTTAAGAAATACATGATGAAGCTAACAGTAAAAAAGGGAAGGCTAAACGAAAGACTGAAGCTCTAGATCTGTGTATGCCAAAATACCCTTCCTATAACTGCTACCTGTTTTGTACACAATGTTGCCTAACACTGTATTGTACTGTTGCAATGTCAACAAATAAGGGAAAGCAAAAGGGGAAGGATAAAACAAAAACATGCACAACAAGAAAGAATAGATTACGTCATGTTTTTACTAGCCTGGTTACCTTTCTCCACAGGCCGGCTTAGGGGTGTTTCACTAAGCATGGCCCTCTCCTGACATGCTAAAGATATTTCCAGCTTATTGAAACCGACCCGGTAAATACACCGTAGGGCACCAGCGGACCTGGGCGGGCGGACAGTACTCTCAGCACCGTAGAGACACCGGGGAACCTACGATGGTCTGGCAGCCAGGCTATGTTTTCATTCACACCCCCAGACTTACAAGCCCCCCTTGTCCGCCCCTTACTTCTACTTGTAACGGAATTTTTTTACACAAAGTTGAACCCTCCTAAGTTACCATTCTAGTGGGTCACGGATGCGTTAAACCTTGTTAAGCCTTTAGTTTGCATAGCTCGAACCTTAAGAGTGGTGGTTGCAACAATTAGTCAAGATGAAAAAGTAATCTAAACACGGACAGATTCACACATGGTGAAGTAAGGTCCCTCTGTGTTAAGTTTTCCCTGGTACTGGACCATACGAAATGTAAACTTCATTGCGCAACATACAAGTATACAATACTAGGTACAGTGTATGACATATATGTATACTGCTATATAAGAACAAACATATTGTAAGACAAATCTACCGTATAGAAGGCTATATACATTTGTAATATGGAATTCTAGCGTTTAGGCATTTAAAAAAATACATATACAATACCTGGGTTGTCACATATCAATATGTACTTCAATTTGCTATTTGAATCCCAAAATCCTAGTTTAGAAGATGATAGACTTTTGTATAGTGAAGATATAGTAGTGTTAAATGTTATTTTGGTACCATTTATGGTATTTGAAACTGTTAGAATCTATATGGGAGGAATTTGTTTCAGTAAGCTATAGATAGATTGTTGTTTGAATGGAATGCAGTCGTGTATTTCCCGATTCAACTTGACATCATATAAGGAATGTTGGCGCCAAATTTCGGGCATTCACTATCGGCAGGACCACCAACGTCTTCTCCCACTTACATGGTGAGGTTTGCCTGGTATTCAGGACCACGTAAGTTGGGTGGATCTATGTGGAATAAGCCTGGTGATTTTCTTTTGTGGGTTTTGATATCTTAGGCGGAAGGAAGGAAGAAAGGAAGGAAGGAAGGAAG